CATGGCTGGCTGGGGAATTCTGGGAGTTGAAGTCCACTCATCTTAAAGTGGCCAAGTTTGGACAACACTGCTTTAAGTAATACTTTCATGCAGATTCAGTAGTAGTAGCCACAGTAGTGGTAAAAGCTCATAAAAAAGAGAAGCCCTGGCTTACATTTTCTTAAGGTTGGGACAACAGAGGAAGACTTCTGTAGCATAAGAACTCTAGGCTGGAAAGAGGGCATGTGGCATGGCACCCTCCATTCTCTGCCAACTTAGGATCAGGACTGCAAGAGGTTCAGGGTGCACTCTGCTAAGGGCAAAAAGCATACAGTGCTTTGGCTTCAGTGACTCTTACAGTCCGTTAGGGACATTGGAAAGGGGGCACGCAAGGGTATGCAATGTTGCTTGACTCGGGGGCTCAAATAATTGAAGAGTAAACGAGATGGGCTGGCAGGGAGATAAATGTAGCCATGGACCAGGCCACAGAGCTTGCCCTCTCTCCCTTGTTGCATTGACCTAATCTGTCCCCTCCTCACGAAACTCTTATTTACTCTGAAAGAGAGAAACCTATGGATGGGGATATATGGGGTAGGAGGGAGATTTAAATTCCCTTATGACCCAAACTGTTTTTTATTTTCTTTCTGCAGCTGCTTGAAAGAAAAGAAGCAAAGGTCCCATCCTGAGAGCTCCCATCTTCTTGTCTGTTCTTCTTTTCCCAGATTGGCCTTCCCCAACCTGGTGCCCTGGAAGGCATAAGTGATTATGTAATCTGGCACATGTAGAAGGATTCATCTTGGGGAAAGATGATCTGTTTTCTTTAAATTGGCTGCTTCAGACAGTGATTTAGGGGATGAAAGAAGTCTATTTTCTCACTTTTTCCTCCCAGAAGCGGTCATGTTTTATAATAAAGCTGGCTCAGTAGCTGCAAAAAGGGCTCACAATTATTTCTTTCTCTGTCTCACACACATTCACACATAAACACATTCACAGCAATGCACACAGAGGTTCTAAAAGCAAAAATCTAATATGAGAGTAGAATATAAAAGTGTGAAATACGGCTTGTTCTTATCACTTGAAAAGGTATGTTCTTCATTTGAATTGACAGTCTAGTTACGCTTCTTAATAAACCTGTCCAAATCAGTTTTTCCTCTGTTCAGTTGAGTGGTTCTAGTTGCATGCCATCTGTCTGTTTCAGCGGGAGATATGTATGACAGAGTTTATCAAGATTTGACCAGATTCTGTCTAATTCTGAAAATGAATACAAGTAATCAGATCATCTTGTCTAATAGTGAATTACTTCTTACCTAGCATCTCTGATGCACAAATAGCAAGTTGGTTGTTTTAAATTTTATTAGGGAATTATACTAAACAAACAGAATAATAATCAGTGATAATATAGTCAGAAACGACATAAGTCAGCTTTTACACTGTATAATTTTCTTCCACCTGTACCTTTTTTTTTTTTTCACCATTGATTATCATTTGTTGTTGCTAATACAGAATTGTAGCTGTTGTTAATGGATCTGGCAATACTTTCTCCTTTTATTGACACCCCTTCATAAATATTGGGGAGAAAAGTCAAAAGTGCTATATTTTCATAAAAGTCCTGTTTTTGTAATTTTTTTACTCTCTGGAAGAGCTCTTATTTAAGAATTTATATAAGGTTGTCACTTGACAAAACAGCCCCTAGGCTGGCCTGCTCTTGTGCTTTGAACCACAGCTAGATGTGCAGAAGAAAGCTTCTCATGGCATTGTGACAAATTGCCACTTGCTGTTGCCCGTAGGTGCTAATGACATTTGACATTTAGAAACACTAAAAGTTGCCAAATTGGGGCCACATGTGGTGTTTGTTTGTTTATTTTTATTCCTCCACACTCCACATGAACTCATGGTAGTTTACAGACCTAATTGATCTGGGATGGGGATTCTCTCTTCTCCCCGTGTTCCCCCCTGCCCCCAGTTATGTGGCCAGGAAGAGCATCTTCTTCACTGACAGGATGCGAACAGAATTCTACCTTTGCCTGGTACCAGCGTGCTTTTAGAATCACAGCTCAAACCATCACCATAGGGTAACTCTAGCTTCCGGCAGCCTGGTGCCCTCCAGTTGTAGTAAATTACAATTTCCAGACAGAGGGGCAGCTCTTTGGAAAGGCCTGCAGACAGTGTGGTTGTAGGCTTAGAGATGACCCTACCCATAAAATGGGGACACCTCCTCAGGTATTGGGTTTATAAGGCATTTTATTAAGGACAGTAGAACATGGGATCATCTGGACATTACCTTTCTTTTTACCTAAAGTATATTTGGAACTGAGAATGGATTTCCTGGTGATGTGTAGCTCCAAATGTATTTGCATGTTGTCTTTTAAATTTCCATCTTGGGCCCCAACATTTCTTCTTCAGTATCTTATGGCAAAGAGGAGGGGCTGGGAGGTTTCTGGCCCAAGGAGCCATGGGAACAGGCTGACCCCATGCAAATGTTTCCATTCCAAATTTCCCTCTCTGTATGTAACATTTTTCTCCTCTTCTCTGCATCTCTGTCCCCAGCTCTTTCTGGCCTGCCTGCTTTGAGCTGTTCACCATGCCTCTCGGGAAAGGCTGGAAGAAAACAGTGGAAGACATTGCCAGTGTCTATGACATCAAAGAGAAGCTGGGCGCGTGAGTACAAAGGAAGGACCAGCAAGAGATCTGCATGGATACTCTTCTCCTCTGGGAATCCTGCCCTTGTGGGCTTTAGCACCGACCTGGAGCTTCATCTCATCCTCTATTTCTTGATATATTTACTTTCCATGCTCTGGATTAGCCCTTCTCTACTTTTATACTTATCTTCCCCAACTTGGGGCCTTCCAGATGTGTTCGGAGTGTCAAAGGCCATGTCGGCTGGGGAAGTCTGAACCTTAGGGCACAAAGCTGAAGAAGGCTGTTTTAGCTTTTCTTCCACCCACTTCCATTTCTCTTTTTTCTTTCCCAGCCACATCCTGCCCTTGCATCCCTAATCCTAAGCCTTGCACATCTATCCTGCAGCTGAACCATGCTTCCCTCCTGCCCCCCTTTTGTTCAGTACCGCTCCAGTATTGTGCACTGGATTGATGTTAAAGATTGCATGACTTTAAATAAATGCCAGAAGAAGCATTTTCCCCCGTGTAACAGATAAACTCACACATGCAACGTTGTGGGATGTTAGCATGCCTGTAATCTGTCTACCCCTCTCCTGTTCTCCATCCCCAGCATGATGCCAACTGCACCCCATCTGCTTTTTCTGCCCTGAGGTCCTCAGCCTGTCCCACTAGTCTCCGGCCTCTGCGGCTGGATGTGCTCCCCCTCCCGGAAGCCTCTTCTGCAGAGAGAGACCCCAGGAATGCTGCAGCCTGATCGGCTTAATTTGCATGCTGTGATCTCATTGGCTCTGGGGCCCTTGGACATATCTGACGCGCGCATTGGACAATAATAGACCAGGAGCCCAAGGGAATTTGCAGAAGGTGGTGGGAGTGAAGTGTACAGGTTAACTCTTTCCTAACCAAATGCGCCAAGCCAATTTGGATGTGGGGCAGAGAATCCAAATACATTTCAGAAGGGACATTGAACGGGCTTGGTTTGTCACCATTTCCTTGGCAATGTCTCCCTGTTGTTTTCTCTGCAGCCCTAGGAGATCAGGCTTGCAAAGGAAAATGAATCAGCCAGCCCTGAAGAATTTGTAAGTTACCTGATGTCAGTTCACATACTGGACCCTGGAGATCCTTCACACAGTTTATCCCAGAATCATAAAGCGTCAAGCAAGGGAACAGATGTCTCTGACTCAGTTCCAGTTTGGTGTATTGGGAGAACAAAGATTGCGGGGGGGGGGCAGTTGAGGACCTTTGGGGGAACCTGTGTAGTAAATCTCAGAAATTTCTACCACTTTTGCATTTTGGTCACTCTTGCTTATTCCAAA